TCTGATCCTAAAGGATAGATTCCATATGGGCTCAGTACAGGAATTCATTGGTACATTAGCGCATTCTCTCATGGACTTGTTTTGTAAAGAATGTTTGTTTCCTTTGTAGAAGCACTATGTACCATAGGCTTTATTGGGTTGTTAGCTACACAAAATATTCTAAGGACCTATTGATAGACTGGGTTGGGAAAGTGTCTCCACCTTGGAGACCTGAGGTTTGAGTCATGGTATGTTCCTTGCCAATTGTATGACTTTTAGAAATATATTTTCTGACTTTTCTTATGTGCAAAATGTGAACAATGCTTTAACATTCCCAGTATATTGTCAGGATCACGAAAGGAGTTAAGGGCGGGTGGCCAGGGGGACTGATAGTCTGTTGAACACAGACTTTAAATAGGAAGTTATACCTGTGGTGAAAATGCTACTTTGTTTTGATTAAGTAGTCTGGGAATTCAAAGAGAGCCTTTCTAGGAAGTGGAATTTAGCAGAGGAACCAAAGAGAAGGCTGTTGTAGGGGGGAAGTCCCCGGAGATGCTCCCATCTTCGGGGACAAGTGCAGAAGCTCTAGCCTCAGTGAGCGGGTGCTTCAGAAGCCAAGAAGAGCTGGGTGCTAGAGGGTGGAGGACCAGAGCGGAGAGGAGCGCAGGGCAGGCGCCTGTGGTTTACTCTGGTGGGGTGTCCCGAGGGCTTGATGCCTCCTCCGATGGCTCTCCCTCCACTTCAAATAGAAATCAGCCCTTCTAGTTCCGCTCTCCCTGGTTGTCTGCAGGACGGACGGTCCTATCTTCCAGCTGTGATGTCATCTGCCCTGTCTCCCCACTTTGCGTCCATCCCATTTCTGCTCAAGTCCGCCTTTCCAGGAGGACGTCTCTCCTCAGCAGACTGCTTTCCGCATCCCCCTGTTGTTACTGAACCCTTAGGATCTCCATGCAGACGTTAAGACCCCGGCCTGCCTTTTCATGCCTCTGTCCTCCTTTCTTCTCTGTGGTGGCCACAGAGAACTGCCCCTGTTCTCACGGCTTCTTTCTGCAGCAACCCAGGCTGTGGGGTGAGGAAATTGAGTTCATGTCTCGACTTGTTCACTGACTGGCTCTGTGGTGACAGGATTCTGTCACCACTACTTGTGTGATTCATTCTCTTTTGTACTGTTAAAGGAGAAAAGGAAAGCAAAAAAAGTAAATCTCCATGTGTCAGTTGTTCAGTCAGATGAGGGAAAGGGAACCAGTGTAACCCAGGGTTACTTCACTTCACTGAAGCACTCGTCAGCTGTTTGCCTGGCAGACTCTGTTCCTTATCCTCTAAGAACTCAGCTCACATTCACTAGCTTTTTGAATGCTATTCCAAGTTCCAGAGACATGAGCCCCTCTTCTCAGCCCTGAGTACACTGCGTCTGTCTGTGTGGTCCCACAGGCTCCATGTTCTGTCCCCAGCACCCTGGACAGTTTCTCCGTGCGTCAGAATTCAGTCAGCCTTGTGGATAGACGCCTGATTGCGATCGATACCTGTTCCTCTCACCCTCACCACGTGAACCGCACTGCATTTGGATTCTCAAAGTGAAAGACTGTACTTGTAGTTTCCAGAAACACGTGTGTTACTTCAAGTGAGACCAGCAGTCCAGGTATATACTTACCACAGCTTCAGTGAAAGAGTATTTTAGTGAAGGATTTAAATGAATGATCAAGAGAGAGTCAAACTCTGGATTTTCAGCCAAAGTGCAAAATAGAAACATGACCATCCCTGTATACATTCATATTTTATTCTGTTTTGATTTTTAAAAAATTCTACAAAAGTATTAATTTAAATTTATGCAAATTTAAAGGGTAAAATATTCATGATTCAAACTTTTAAAACAGTGTAAAAGAGAAATACAGTGAGAAGTCTCTATTCCTGTTTCTTATCCATTGCATTTCTCCCTTGACAATTAGATAATCAGTTACTCGTTTCTTACGTGTAAGAAGGGAGCTCTTTTTTGTGCATATACAAGTGAATGTGAACATATAGTCTTACACTGCTTTACGCTGTGACTTGTGTTTGTGTGTCTATGTGTACAAACACTGTTTGGTGGAGACTTTTTCTCATCAGAACATGAAAAGTTTTCCTGATGTTGTAAAGTAACTTATGCTATCTCTCTGAGTGGCTGTGCCCTTGCTTATGTAACCAGGCTCTTAATTCTAGATATTTAGATGATTTGCAGTGTTCTACTATTAAAGAAGTGCTTTAAATGGATAAATTTGTATATAATATTTTATATCTATCCACATATATCTTTAGGGTAAATTTGTAAAAATAGAGTTGCTGGGACAAAGGAAAATGACAATTTTCATGTGCTTGATTCTTTGAGAGAATTTAAGCAGTTTTAATGAAAATTTACATTACCAAATTTTTTTTAATATTGAAAATTTAGTTTATTTAAATTCAAAGAGTATTTGGCTGTGTCTTAGAGGATTCGTGGATTTTAGCATATTTGGTAGGGTAAGTGGTCATTGCTTAGGAAGCTCCATACTGAACCAAGACAGAAACAGAAAATAAGGAAAAACAAAAGCCAAAAAGGTCATAACTGACACTAGCTTTCCTGGTTGACAGAAGTTTGGTGTCCATGGTTTGAAAACATAGCATTTTAAACCCTACATCATCTAAAACCTAATCACACATTTGCTTATAATTTCTGAGCTGGGAGATGGCATTGGTACATTAAACTGTATGTAACGAATGTAATCTTGGGATTAGTGAAAGTCAAATCCCCTATGTGTTCGACCTTGAGCATCTGGCTGGATTTTCTGGGGTTTGCCTTCATATGCTCCGATTTACTGAAAGGTTAAAGCCACCTCGGTAGCTGTCCAGTCCCTTCCTGACCTAGGGAAGCCCAGAGGGGTGGTAGTATGAGTTTGAGGGTTTGAAACTCCCATTTACGGACAATTTCAAGTTTTCATAAGTCATCTTGTTGCTTCCCGTTAGTTTGCATTGTACTTTATTGGACATCCTGAACACATAAACATACTTATGATCTTCAGTCAAGTAGAAAATGCCAAACTGTTGATTGAACAGTGCCTAAAAACATGGAAGTTTGGCCAGTTCTGAATTTTACCACTGGGGGCCACGGGGACCTAAGAGAAGTAGACTAGCCATGATGTAAACCAGACCTGTGAGATGCCCGTGATGGGGGCGAGGCTATTTCAAATGCTGTGTGGCATGTTAGGTCTAGCACACCTACGTGCTTTAACATGGCATCAGGCCTTACATTTTTTTCTAAAATAAATCTTAAACAGTAAAGTATTTCAGCATATTTCAAAGCTTACTTAAGGTAGCAACAAGGTATTTTATCAAGATAAGATTTGTAAAGTTGACTATCTGGAGAATAAATTAGTTACTTTTCTTCTAATTTTTATTTCCTTCTTAAAAATTGTAGGGATATCTCAACCTTTAATATATACTAAAATACGTAAGTGTTTCTAATTTTTTAACCTTAACTTTAACCTAACATGCTGCTTCAAATGATAAATATCACTGATAGAAGGAGTAACATTTTGAAGGCTGATTAGGGAATTAAATATTAAATTGTGCCTGTCAGTGCCCAACAATTATTAAAAAGCCTTTGTTATATAAAAAGAAAATAGGTAGTTAAATCTGTTTTGACTGATGTATTATACATTAAAAATTCTGTGTTCTAGGAAGTTTTAGCAAACCTAATTTTACTAAATCTTCTAACTCGCTAAAGGTATTCTCAATTATAGCATAAATGGATAAATAAAAATAAGATATAGAAGTTATTTTCCTGTGCTAATTAAAGCTGAGCCATGAATTGTTGTACTCGATGAGCAAATGGCATGTGACTTACTGCTTTTTACTGAGGAGAACCGAACTGATTTAGCTCATGTCCACCATTAGCTTTACAGTTTTCAAATATGTTTTGTGTCTGCATGCTCAGAAACTCTTATTTACATAAAATAAGAGTATATAACATGGTATATTATTATCTCTGGAGTATGGATATAGGAGAAACTTTCTTTTAATTGTATATTTTATTTATAGAAAAATGTCAAAATTAGAAGTACTCTCAAAAGGTTTTTTCCAACAACAATGGCAAGAATTATCTACATAAATGTTTATATTTCACATACTTCTGTTCAATGTATCTTGTTCCCATGCAGATTCTATATAGAATGATCAGTTTTATAGGAGCAAAATGTAGCATAATACAAGAAAGCAAACAAAATAATCAGTGTATTTGGAGATTTAGTAATTATCTTTATCCTTAGAAGCTTTGCTTAGAAGTTGCGGGCCTAAGCTGGGAATGATAATAGAATTGTGCATGAAGTACTTTGTGAGTGTCGTGGTGGGAGTGACTGATGGACCCCCGCCCCGTCAAGGAAAGTGACAGTTGCATAAAAAGTAGTACTTAATATGATTGAATCTTGAAGGTGATGTGTGAAATGGAAATAATCAAAATAGCATCACCAGCAGAGAAAAGAGCACTAACAAAGCCACAGGCTTGTGGTTGGGCTCGTCACTTGTGAGGTGGGAAGATTTTGTTGGAGAGGTGACTGTCACAAGGCTGTCTAGGGCTTTTAATGCCCTCTTAGAGAATCCTTCATGGTGGGAACCACCTTGGAGACCCAGGCAGGGCTGGTAAAATGGGCTGTCAGTACTTGCTAGTGCTAAACTGAGAATGCTTTCTGGCTTTTCTTTGCTGTTTGATCAGCCTTTTTTGAGAATTCCAGAGGACCTCAAAGAGTCTGTTTTTATGTTTGTAGCTAGTGTATTGTTCCCCTCCATGAGCTTGGGTCATTGAGACTTGACTTTGGAGCACATGTGTGTGTGTTTCCCCACTTGCTGGTGAAGAATCATCGATGGAACAAGAACACGTCATTACTTGAGCAAGCTGTAGGCACCTGAAGTCCATATTCTGTATTTGGTTTCTTGCCACCATAGAGCTAAGGAGAACCCCCAGTCTCAGAGGTTCCAGGTCTGACACTTCATGATTTTCTGTTTTTCCTCCACAGAAATAGAGAAGTTTCAAAAAGGAGAAGGCAAGGATGAAGAAAAGTACATTGATGTGGTGATTAATAAGAACATGAAGCTGGGACAGAAAGTGTTAATTCCTGTAAAACAGTTTCCTAAGGTAAGACAGGTGTGCACTGCAGGCGTGTTAATCTTTATCACAAGGGAGTGCTTGTTTAATTTATATTCTGTTTAGTGTCTTCTTGAGATGTTTTCCCTTCGCAGAATATCCCAACATGCATACTTTTAAAATTAATTAAAAACTTATTTAGTGATTCTGTCCTTTCTGTTTGACTTTGGTGTGAGTTATGAAGCCTTAAAAATTATTCTTCTGAGTTGTATTTCAGACTTCAGACAGACAGTTCTACTTTTTCGGGCTGTAGTTTTTCATTTGTAAGATAAGCTTGGTTGATAAGAATTAAATAAGATTATCCACGTTAAATGCTTTGCATCCAGCTTGGCACATAAATATTCAAAAAATTCTCTAATTATCTATTCTAGAAAGAAGTTTGATTTTTATTACATTGAGCACAGTTACAATAAGTACTTTTAAAGCCGATCTAATTATAAAATCTTTATCATCTTAGATTTGGCCTAAATTGATGCTTTTTTCTCTGCTTTCTTTTTTCTTTGCGTGTCTTTGTACATGATGTATACATACTGTTGTGTACATTCGTAGTTAATTTCTTTTGCGTGCAGAACAATAATCCATTACCTGAATATACCACAGTTTATCCATTGCCTGGGCAGTTTTCAATTTTGAGTTATTATAATTAAATTGCTGTGAACATTTCATTTAAGTCATTTTGTGACCATATGTTTTCATTTATTTCCAGTCAATACTTAAGATTTAAATTGCTGTGGATTTAGTTTTATAATAAATTGCCATAATTTTTTTCCCCTAAGCGGTTGTATTTATGACATTTCTAGAATAACACATGCAAAGTTGTGGTTGTTCCATACCTAAACCCTTATTTGATGTTGTCAATCTCTTTAATTTCAGCCATTCTGATAGGGTATTGGTATTTTCATGTGGTATTAATTTGTATTTCCCTGATAATTTATTATCTGGTATGCATTTATTGGCCATTTATATATCTTCAATTTTGAAGTCTCTTTTGAGATCTTTTTCTGCTCTCTGGGCTGTGTGTCTTCTTATGATTGAGTCGTAGGAGCTTCTTTAAAAACTTATCTCCTGTATCATATCTTTTGGTGGATATATATTTTGTGAATATTTGACTCAATCTGTGGCTGCCTATTATTTTCTAACTGGAGTTTTGTGATACATTTTTTAATTTTGATGATGTGTAATGGGTTAAGTTTTTCTTTTATGAGTTTACCTTCTGTCAACTAAGAAATCTTTGCCAACTTCAAGGAAATGTTAGAATCCTTTAAAGTTAAAATGATCATTTCTTCCATTTCCTCTAAAAGCTTTAACATTATAGCTTTTAATTTTATGTCTGTGATACATCTCAAATTAGTTTTTGTGAACAGTATGAGATAGACAGTCAATTCATTTTTTTCCTCATATGGATATCTAGTTTTTTCAATGGCATTTGTTGAAAGATATTTTCCTTCCACTGATTGTGTTGGTACCTGTGTTGAAAATTGGATGACTGTGTTAAATGAGGATCTGTTTCTATACTTTCTGATTTATTTCATTGATCTATTTATGGATCATTATGCCAGTACCATACAGTCTTCATCATTGCAGCTTTTTATAGTAAGACGTGAAGTTAGGTAGTGTAGTCCCTTCAACTTTGTCCTTTTCCAGGATTATTTGGATGTATATCCTTTGCAACTGTATATAAATTTAAGAATTAGTTTTGCAGAACATTCTGCTGGGATTATGATGCTGTTGCATTGATTTTGTTGGTCCATTTAGGGAGCTCTGACATCTTAATAATATTAAGTCTTCCCTTCCTTGAATATGATGTATCTTTCCATTTAATTTCCATCACTTTTAGGGGAAAGGTCTTGTCTTTTGTTAAACTTACTCCTAAAAGTATTTTATGTCTTTTGAACACTTGTAAAATGAACATTTTGAAATATTCTCTTCCAATTTTTTGCCTCTAATAGAAACTTTTGTATATTGACCTTGTATTCTGCTACCTTGCTAAAATTCACTTGTTTTCATAATTGTTTTATAGAATCTTCAGAATATGCTATGTACATAATCATATTATCTGCATAAACAGTTTACTTCTTTCTTTCCAGTTTTTATGTTTATTGTTATCTTGTATTATTACTTTGGCTAGGATCCCTAGTATAATGCTTGAATACAAGTGGTGAGATTAGGCATTTTTCTCTTGTTCACATCAATGTGGAAAACATTAAATATTTTACCAGTAAGTGTGGTAACAGCTGTGGAAATTTGAAGTTTTCTTCTGCTTTAGCTTTGTTGACTATTTGATCCTGACTGGATGCTGACTTTTGTTGAATATCCTTTCTGCATCTACTGAAATGAGCACAGGATTTTTCTCCTTTGTACTGTTAATATAGTGTTAATAAATTAAACCAATTTTGCATTTCTGAATTAAATTCTACTTAATGATATATTATCCTTTTTATACATTGTTGGATTCACATGCTTCTGTATTCCTGATAGTGGCCTATAACCTATATATATTCATATAAAATATTATATGCATTTATGTAAATATTTATACATAAATATATTTATTATAAAAGTATACATAGACTAATATTTACATATATAAAATGTATACATATATATAATTATACATATATATATGTATATATATATATATATTTATACATATATAAAATTATATAGTGAGTGAAGAAGTGTCCCCTCCTTTTTTTTTTTCCCCTCTAAGGAATATGTCAGTTTGGTGCTGTATTTTCTTTATTATTAGATAGAATTTACTAGTGAAGCTATCTGGGCCTGGAGTTTGGTGGTATGAAAATGTTTCAAATATACAGGTTTATATATGAATCAAATATCATATATATTTGGATTGTATTCTGTAACATTGTACTACACTGTGGAACTGGATTCTCTTCTGTTTCTTTGAGGAATGTTGATATTTTTGGATTCAGACTGCAGACGTTGGATGGGAATGCAGAACTTAGTTTACCTCTTAGTTGGACTTTTACATTTATTTTTGGCATACATGATTGTCAGATTTTATACACAAAATATGGGGCTCCCCAGGTCTAACTGTCATTTCTAGCATTCCTCCCATTGATTTCAGCCCTGTGTTTGCCTCAAACTCTGCTACTCAGCTAAAAAGCTCTACGATCAGTAAATTCACCCAGGCCATTCCCTTCTTTCAACTCTTGACTCCCTTCTAAAATCTCTTTGATTTTGAGCATTCTACAGACTTTCGATGGTTGGTTTTTGTATGGAGTGTATAGTTGTTTAGCTATAGGTAGCCTATTAAGAATTTACTTAGCTCCACTTGCAAAAACTGAGGACACACACTTTAGTAAATGGAAAACTGTTAGGAACATGTTGTAGACTGCTGATCACTAAGCAAAGCGCAGCTTATGGGAACTCTAATGGACTAATCTGCCGGGCTTGATGTGCGCTGTATGCTCAGTGTGCAGCAGGAGGAAGGCTGCAGAGACTCTGTCCCTGTCTCTAAAGGGTTCCTGGCCTAGCAGATGCTTAATCTGAAGTTAACTCTCTGCTGTGTATAAGTAATTATGTGGCAGGAAGTGTTTGAGCTAAGTATTTGCAATAAACCTCAAAAGTTGTTTTTCAGTATCAGCTTTGAGGAGAATAGGGGAAGACAGATAATAATTGCTGTGTCTCACAGAGAGCAGAGTCCATTTCAAGTCCTGATAATGTCTGAAGTAGGCTGCTTGGAAATCTGCTTTCAGAATGCAGAAAAGGATATTTCTGCTTAGCAAATTGAGCATTTGAATCTCAAGCCAGCCTTGTGTAGAGGCTAATAGAGCACTCACATCAGTTCTAAGAAAAAACTTTGATGCTGGTGTCAGTTACAGGCTGAGCTGGAGGAAGCCGGCAGTACTTGCCCCTCTGGAGTAGCAGTGGGCAGGCAGCTTGGTGTGGGACTGAGGGCACCATACCTGTTCAGCGAAACTCCATCTAATATGATTCCATTAACTGAATAATTTCTCTTCTCTTAATGAACCGATTCAATACTTTTCCAGTGGTACAGCATTGGACATGAGTCCTCAAGTGTTCAAACCCAAAGTACATTTGCTGTCTTGAGTATGTGTGCAAGCTTGGAAAGTATGAAAATCAAACACTGTTTCATGATTTTTTTTTTTTAAGACTTTAAGCTGTAGAAATTCTCCTCCACATTACTTGTGGGTAAACTCTAACTCTTGGTTCTGGACGGTGACTAGATGTAAGAATTAACCTAAGTGCCAAATCTCTATTGGAACAAGGCATGCTATCTATGAGGACCTTGAATGCCTTGTGGTTTAGATTTTACATTGATTTTTTTTCTTAATAAGCTCTTTCTTCACCATTGAACCCATCTATCCATTCATATACCTAACATTTATGGAGGGTCTCCTCTGAGCCAGGAATTGTGCCTGGAAAACAAACTGATTAAAATTTGCTTTTTTGCACAAGAAGTTCTAAGTTTTGTGGGGCATAGAGATGACTCACCTAATGAGTATAATACAGTGTGAGGAGTTCAATGTTGGGATGCTCTGGAAGGGTACAGGATCATGTGACAGTCTCAGAAGCCTTCCCTAAGACTGTGAAGGAGCTGGCGGGGGTGGTGGGGCAGTGGTCAGAAGTGAGCTGGGGAGATGGAGGGGTGGCCGTGAGAGAGCAACGCAGGGCAGAGGGCATTTGAGACACTACCAGCCCCCATCCTTGGCTAAGCAGGGTAATTTCCGTACGACGTGCAGGTTTTCATTAAGGATTTATAAATAAAGTGGTACGGGAACTGTGTACAGGGGCTCCCCCCATCACTGTATTTATTAATATAAAGTAGGGCTGGCCAGTGGGGGCTGTTTTAGAGTCTGAGGTGGCTCTCCGGGTGTTTATTTTAAACTTTATCAGGAGACGGAATGCCATGTGTAAAGTCATGCTAGGGTAAAAGAAGGCTTATGGACCATTTTAAAAAACTTGTTATCTAAAATTAAGCTGTATCTTATCCCTATATATCATTA